GCACTACCAGCACACATATACACACAAACACGCACTTATATATTTAGAATGGACAACGTCTAAAATTTTTTTTCATTGTGTTACATATCTATGTATGTATGCAATATACTATGTATTTTTTTTTTCTTAACATACATACATATGTTTGCTAGTTGCTTCAAAAAATTTTCTTTATATAACACACATGTTAAGGACACGCACAGACAGGCATTCCTTTTCACTAATTTTACTATAAAAAATAAATTTGATTTTCTTTAAAAAATTTCCTTTTATAAAAAATTCTTTTCATCACGCACTTTTTCCCACATATCGATTATATTTTTTTCTTTGTATTTGCATTTTCACAGACCCCAAGGGGTTTGCAGAATTTTAAACACGCAGACAATTAGGCCACTTTTCTTTAGCACTTTTTCAAAGACATTTTTTCTCTTTAATAAAAATCATTATTTTTATAATCGCACAAAAGCTACACCACTTTTCAATAAACATTTTTTCATTCACTTTCCAAAAGTATTAAAAAAAGATCAAAAAAATATTTCAAGGATAAAGAAATTGCAGTAGAAAAGGTCTTTTTCAAGTGTTGAGGTTTTTCTGCTGCTTTTGTTGTTGTTAGTAGTGGTGGTGGTGTTGATGGTGGTTGTTTTGCTTAGAGGAATTTGGTTTTTTTGTGTGTGTTTACCCTAAATCGCTGTTCTGGTTGGTCTCGTAACTCTGCTTAACGTTTCAAATGTCCACGACGACTGAATGAAAATTTTGATTGTGGTCTACTAAAGAAATTTCCTGGTAGCTTTGCGATTTGACAGTTATCTTGTCATCGAGCTGTCATTTTATGTATCGCGTTTGCGCAGTAACTTCGTTTGCAACAAATGTCATCACTTTTTAACTTACCCTGTACCAGGTGGTGTAATAACGCATTTAAATAATCACACAAACGCCATTGTTGCCATCGATGTTGTTCACGTTCCGCCAAGGCCTGTTGTAGGAAACTGGACATTAAACGTATTTCATCGTGTAACAACGATTTCATATCACGCAGTTTTCGTATGTCATTTTGTAGGAAGGCTATGGAACGTAGATAGAGGAACTTGTTGGGTTTGGAACGAGATTTATGTGATTTTTTGGAATGTTGCTGACGACCATAGATGTCCCATAGCAGGGCATCGAGAAGAGATTTAACAGAGCTGAAAAGCAATAAGTCAATTTATGTGAAAATTTAAAATAAATGTAATAATTTTGCCTACCTCATTTACAAAAAAAAAAAAAAAAAAAAACAATTAGAATTATATTTTGACAAGCTATTAAAACAATACAATTGAAAAAAGTGTTGATAATCGAAACTAAATAATTAGAGTTCTCAAGGCGTTAAAAATAGTTTCATTATAAGTTTCTGGAAATTGTATTTTCATAGAAAGTTTGAATTTAATTTCTTGTTTTAGTAAATGTCAATGAAAGTCTATTTTCATAGAAAATATTATCCAATTTTTAAAGGATTTTGTTGTTCTTACACGATTTTTATGAATTTATATTTTAACAAAGAAAAGTGTCAGCCCTCAATCAGTGGTTTGCGGAGGGTTTCGGATTTTTCAAAGATTATTTTTTCCAGGACCAACACAAGGCGTGGATTTTTTAACGATTATTTTTTCAAGGACCAACACAAGGCGTGGATTTTTTAACGATTATTTTTTCAAGGACCAACACAAGGCGTGGATTTTTTAACGATTAACGATGAGTTGCTTACTCAGACCATAGCAGCATCTATTGGCCAACACCTTCACCGAATTTCAAAACTGATGTCATTAGTTTTATTTATGGCGGTACCAAGGTATATAAAATATTTAACTACCTCGATGCTGTAGTTCTCAAGTTCCACTGTTGGTCCGAGTCTACTGAACGTCTTGCTCCTGACCAGCATCTGACCACCAGTCTTGAATAGTTCGGCTGGTAACCTGTCGGCTCCTGCTGCTTTATTGTTCTTGAGCCGATTAATTGTTTTTATGACCTCATCTTGGCTAGGTGGTGTACACTCTATACCATCATCTCTTATTGGCTCTGGGGTATCTCCTTCACCACCACTATTTGAAACCAGAAGCTTTTCGAAATGCTCCTTCCAGATCCTCAACACGCTGTCTGTATCTGTCACAAGGTTTCCTTATTCATTTCTACAGGAGGACGTGCCTGCACCAAAACCTTCGGTTTGGTGTTTTACTCGTTGGTAAAACTTCCGGACTTCATTCTGACTCCTGTACATATCGATTTGCTCACGTTTTTCTTTTCTTTTTTCTGAAAACACATTTATCGTCTCTCTTCTTATTTTCCGATAATTCTCCATCATATTACGTGTTGCTTCAGTCTGCAGGGTTGCCCTATACGCTGCGTTTTTCACATCAGTAGCTTTACGACACTCCTGACCGTACCATGGGTTTCATGGTGGTGGTTTTTGGTACCCAAGTGTTGCTTTTGCTGCAGTTTGTACTATTATCGGGACAAGAAGTGCTTTCGTCAAACAGGTGTGTAAGTTGAGCGGAGTAGGGCTATCTCTTGTGTTTGCAGCTTTTCGACGTCGAGTTTCGTGTTGTGTTAGATCGCACCTTTGCCGCAACATTAAGACGAGTGCGGAGCTTGGCTGCTACAAGCTAGTGGTCCGAGTGGATATTTGCTCTTCGGATCGATCAAACGTCTAATACACTGAATGAATGCCTTCCGTCTCGTTGCTTGATTAGGAGAAACCCAGGTGGCCTTGTGTATATCGAGATGCTTGAATCTGGTTTTTGCTGTCGCGAAGTCAATCAACCTCTTATCGTTGTCGGATGTTTCTTCATGAAGGCGGAATTTTCCGATGGTGGGGCCAAAGATTTTTGTATTAAAATCTCCTAGAAAAATTTTAAATCTTTTATTCTGCTGTTAACCATAAATCCGCAGCCAAATTCATGTCTCGTTTCATGGCAGCTGTCCGTTTCCATTGCATTTCCTATAAGGCAATAAAAAATATGGGCTTTGTACTTCTTGAGTACATCCACCAAAGCGAGAACTGCGCCTGTTCTGTACAACGTGTGCACATTGCAAGTGCAGATTCGAAGATCGTGGTTGTCAACATTAGGGGGTTTTCTTTTTCTTTGCTTTTTCATAGTAGGAGGGGTTTTCCGAGTGTGGGCAACTAACCCGACGACACAACCCATTTTTTTATAGTTCTTATGGGTGAAAATAGCTACCCCAGGTGACACCGCGGGGAAGTTAGTGTCCACAATTGAGATGAAAGAGGCACCAACATAAGCCTGGGTTTCGCCGTTGCTTGGTATCTATCATCCCCTACGCCACCAATAAAGTTAGTTACCCCGGTAAAAAGTATTAATGTTGAATGCCGTTCAATATTTACAATTCCAAGTTCAGGCGAATGGAATATTCGATTTGAACCAAACCTTGCACAACATATTATCTTTACCAAGCATAGGTCAACTCCGAAGATGGTACCCATTGGTTCACTCCTTTTGGTACCTTCCCAAAAAGGGTCTAAATTTTCAATATTTATAAATTCAATTTCAGTCGAATGAAATGTTCGATGTAAACCAAACCTTGCACAACCTTTTATCTTTACCATACCTAGATCAAGTAGGAAAATGGGTCCCATTGTTCTACTCCATATGGTACCTCTCCCACAAATGGTCAAAATTTGTTTTTGTTTTTTTAGTAAAGATTTCTGAAATGGTATAAAAACTTCAATTGAAATTCATTACACCCTAATACATATACCACATTTCAACTGCCAACATTATCGGTTGCCGGGGAAACACTTCATTTTTTTTTTTTTTCAAAACAACAAATTTCAATTCATAAACAATTTTCGCAACACAATCCTTTTAATTCAATCTTAACAAGAAGTCGTAAAGGATCCTTTCATCTTTCCCCTAAAAACAATGTGCGACAATCAATGCAATTTAATTGAAACATTTAATCCCGAAGTGGAATATCAAAAATTTCTAAAACGTAAACCCATCGTCCAAACGGCCAAACTCTATGAGGAATTGAAGACCCGTCAAAGTGTTAACAAATGTCCATGTGAGTAGTTTTGTTTTTACTCCTCGAAATTGATTTCAAAATGTTGTTGTCTTTTAGATGATTTCAAAGGCTATGGTGTTGAGAACGATCAGAATACAATGTATCGTACCTATAATTCGGAGTATGGTTATTATGCCCCAAATCCCTATACGATACCATCGCGTTATTATCCCTTATCACAAAAATTCTCCAATGAGTTACATCGTTGTGGCATGTATCGAAATTTCTCGTTGAATACCCATATGGATAGAAGTTTCTATTGAAGTACTGAAATTTGGCGAGGGAGGAGATATTGTGTTTAAATAAAAATCAAGTATATAAAAAACTGGAGTTTAATTTTTATATGGATTAAAGTCTACGATATTTTCAGGTGTTAATGTCGTTAAGTTTTTTTCCGGACCGAACTATCAATACCCTCCACCTGGAAATGAATATTTAATATACAAAAAATAGGGTAGGGACTCTATGTTGAAGCTATGTCAAATTGTGTCAGGAAATTTTTTACATCAAAAAATTCCATATACTTAGTATGAAGAATTGGACAGGGTCTTTACTGGGGATCTATATATATTTCAAATATGTTTTGGGTATAGGAATTTTCGACAAATAACCTCTTTTTATTTTTGTTCATTATTTTTTTAATAAATAATTAAGAGAATGTGCCATCTGGTGTCAAATAAAATTGTGTAACTACAGTGGTTGCAAAAAGTTGCCACCCCTTTTTTCGATTCTCCATTACACATGTACATCCTTTTTCCGGACATGCGCACGAATTTTATTCTTTTTGTTTGTCTTTCTTTTTTTCTGCATTTTGTTTATTCGTTATCAGCTGAAGCTTTACAAGTGTTAACGGGATTTTTTTGTTTTACTTTTTTATAAATGTATTAAAATATTAAAAAAAACTTCGCTAAATCAAAATTAAATTAATCCTAACTTCTACCGACAATATGAAGGATATACTAAACTTTAAAAATCTATTAATAATAACTGTTACATTATGTCAAACATTGGATTACAGTTGGGCCATTAAACGTGGTCCCCATCATCCGCGTAGTGAACGTAAGGTGGACCAACATTTAACCCATGAAGAGCAGTAAGTGTTGTGTATTGGCTTTAGTTATGAATGAATTTTGTAATGATTCCTCATTCTCTTGTCTTTAGCCGTATAGAAGATGATTTAAAGGAAATGGGCATCAAGGCATCTGTGGAAAATATGTCCGAGGAGGAGAAGAATTTCTATTATTTTAAGGTACGTAAGGAAATGCGAGGTTTACACTCATATGCAGCATAAATATTTTGACATAAAAATTAGTCTAATAAAATGGTGTAGTTACGGACAAAAGCCAATTCGCCAAGTTTCTTCGAGACATCATCTTAATGTCAGGATTTGAATGCAGTCTATGTTGCATAAAGTGTAAACAAATTGAAGTTTTAACGTTGAGCATCATTAAAAAACATATAGGTTTCGATAGAATATGTTGAAATTCGGCTGAAGTCTTCAAAATAATGAAAGCTGGTCACAGCTGTTATTTGGGATCTCTCAAAAAAACATAAAACCTATATTCATAATTTTTGGTGGGAAGATTTAACACCCAATGAGAACCTGAAAAACTAAATTCAACTGAAACTTACTTGGGCCAATATTGATTACTTTTGGTAAGGGGATTTTCTACTCAAAGGGTATCCAAAAAAGAATAAAAATGTCAATCGATGTTGCCGACAGATATATACCCTCAGCCTATTGTTTGCGGAGGTCCTTGGAATAACACACAGATTTTATTATTCGCTTTATATAAGGTATATGTTTTTATCAAATAGTTTTCAGATTTAATGTTGATCAAATTGGTTATTTAAATCACCTCAAATTAAATTTACAAATTTTTAAAATATTGACCCTTTTGGGTGAGGTACCAGAAGGAGTGGGCCCCAAGACGGGTCCCACCTTCAGACTTAATCTAGACTTAGTAAAGATTATGGATTGTGTAAAGTTTTGTTCAAATCGGATATTTATTTCGCCCAATATTAAAAATGTTGATCCTTTGTGTGGGAGGTGCCGGAAGGAGTGGACCAATGGATGCCATTTCGAACTCGATCAAAGCTTGGTAATATATTGTGTGTTATAAAATTAATTTTTAACAAAATTTGTCCATTTTGTGGTGGATGTACCAGAAGGGCCGATATTCTCCATCTTCAAACTTAAACATAATTTTTACAATTTAATATCCTAAATTACAGCCACTACAAAGGGAAAATTCTGCTAAAACCTTCAAAATACTGACAATGAGGAGCTACACTACTACGTCAAAAAATTGACCTACAGTTTTATTATACCAAATTACAGCAACGTCATTGTTGCTGAAACTTGGGCCAATATTGATAATATTTTGGTATTGAGATTTCCGACACAATGAAATTTGAAAAATTGCAGCCTACTTGGTTTAATTTTTTGGCCAAACTCCCCAAAATAAGGTAATTTTAAATGTGGCGTTTTGTGGGGACTGCCCTGAAACCTGTAGTAGCAAGATTTTTACCTAGTCAGAACCCGAAATACCAAATTAATGCATATTACGATGAAGAACGAGAACAAATGGTCTACCATTATATGGAAGCCTACACTGAGAAGTGGATCGATATATTCCATTCTCAATACCAATCAAGAAGTAAAAGTAATGTATGTCTAAAATTTACAGATTTTTGGAACCTTTGAAAGGGCCTCTATTTGTTGTTGAACTTTTATAATAAGACTTAATTTCATTATTCTGCAGAGTTTACTTCTGCACAAGTACTTTAGAATATATTTATTATATAAGACACCTTAAGGCGCTTATGAAACACTTTCCGAACGCTATTATCCGTTTATTGATATTTTGTAAAATCCTTTCAGTTGATGTAATAGATTTTGAAGGACTTCTGAATACATGTGGCAAGACCTCCTTTCTATAGAAGTCCGTTTGAAGGAATCTGCCTACCTTTCAAACGCCGATGGTCTATAATAGATTTTTAAAGGGACTTAAGTTCATAAAATAGCTTCACAATTCTTTCAGTCTGTTGAACTTCATTTTGAAGGTATTTTGTTTTCCGCCCTTATGAGAATGTCTTATGTCCATAGAAGGTCTTTTTAAGGGTTTATGGTTATATAGTCCTATAGACTATATCTTATATAGTCCTATAGAAATCTTGTCTAAGGTCTTTTAATGATCTTATTTCTATAGAAGACCCGTCAGAGCTTTCCACCCATAGCAACATATTATAAGATCTTCTGTCTATAAAAATCTTTAAATATCTTCTACCGATTCTTGACATTTTTAGCGTCTTTCCTTAGAAGATCATTAGAATGTCTTACACTCATAGAAGGCCTTTTAATAGCCTTATATCTATAGAAGCCTAATAGAAATCCTCTTTAACCCAATGTTGCCCACAGACAACAAAATGTTTTAGAGCTTATATTTATTATACAGTTAGTAGATATGCATTCTTTGGATTCCCTATGTTAAGGCCAGATTATGGACGACACATATCACGAAAAAATCTAACAAATTCAAATTTTTGGTAAAGTTATGAGCTTTTTAGAACAGAGAAGAGGGCAAAAATGTGTACAGTACGAATTTGTGTATACAGTTCAAATTATTTAAATCTCTTCGTATTCGAAATGTACGAATTCCGTCATCAGATTTATTTTTGATTCTTGTAAAACAGAATATTGAGTATAATTTAAAATGATTTTTTCGTCGATTTTGCATTTGGTTTTCTTGATATTGGCCTTTTATTTTTGACAAAGAATGTACTGTATCTCCCGAATGCAAGGATATAGCGATGTCAAATTTTGTCCGTATCCTATCTAGGATAGTTGCATTAAATCTGGGAACAGAAAATTGTTCTATGATTACGGAAAAAAATTCGGGGCTCAATGGGTTAAATTCTTCTGTCCTGGGAAGTCCTTTAAAATATGTCCATTCTATAAATGACCCTTTAGATATAGAATACCTTAGATACCCCATTTGAAGCATTCCGTAGTTGAAAGACCTTTCAAAGATTTTCCGTAGACCACTTTTGAAACCAGTTCTCTTTATAGAAAACATTAAGAAGCCTTATATTTACTCTGCCCATACCTACAATAGATAAACAATGTTCCATACCTGAGAGAGGTCCTGCGTAGATGGAATGTAATGCATTTAACAATTCTTCAAGGATTTTTCATGAGAATGAAAAAACTTCAATATTTCGAATTTTTGAACAATTTCCCTCGCTTTGTTGAAAAGCAATAATCTGTTCAAAAGTTATGGGCTTTGAAAGTCGAACCTCAAGAAGTGATGTGTGTAATTTGAATCATGCATATTAATAGATGGCGCTGACGACGGGATCGTAAAAAATGCTCTTATTTCCTTTAGCCATAACTTTCTTCGTATTGCAGATATTAATATTAAAATGGTGTAATATTAAGGGTATAATTGTATACTTTATTGTGAAATAAATACTTTTACAAAATTCCATGCTATAGGATTTGAAAAAAACTGCATTAAACACGTTAACAAAGAAGATAATATAAGTTAAAAGTATACGTTTGATGTGTATCTGCATTCAAAGGTTATCTGCATTTAAATGAATGAATAACATGGTCAAACTATCTTTGATATGACACAAATTTTCTTGAAATGCGGGGAGGTCTAAAGCACATTATTATTTTACCAATTTCGTCTAGGTATATGATAGTTTACATTAATATTCATGTTTCCTTTTTTACAGATCCACGATGGAGACAATAATAATGCCTTGGATGGTTTGGAACTTCTGCAGGCTGCAATGCATCAGGATGATCATTTTAAGAAAATCGATCGGGATAATTTCATACAAAATGCCAATGATGAACTGAATCATATTATCGGTAAGTTTTTATACTCTACACATGGTCTGTTCCAGAACTTGCAATAATGTATAATTTTTTACTACGATAACAATTTTTCCTTTAGGATATCGGGAAAAAGTAGTAAAAATTAGTAGATTCTTGCCGTACGGGAACAGACCAACAATTAGGTTGTGATTATACATTTTTGTGTGGGCCAAAGATACCTACATTTTCTAATACCGATTGATGTATCTCGACTTTATGAATCGCATTTGTGCCCGTTTCTTTGTACTAAACCAATCGTTACAAAATTTTGCATCCAGATTCGTTTTAAACCAAAGGTTACCTATTGTTTTTGGTTGGGATCAAATGTGCCAAATAGTGTATTTCTGTCGATTTTTCTTGTCGCACTACAATTATGACACGAACATTACAAATTTTAGTACGGGGAATGGGATCTGACCAACTAATAAGCACAGTTTTTTATGAAGATCGATCAATATTTGGAAAAGGGTCTATGTATTCTTACATAGTATAACTAGCGTATTTCCGCTACTTCATTTGCGAGCATGGGAATTACTTAATCATGTCTAAATAGATTTTGTTTTCTCAGAAAACTACATAAATATGTCAGAAGACAGCAACATCGAACATAATTTAAATTTTTGTATTTGTTCTCTTAAAGTATGTATTTTCAAAACTATCTCCATTTCTCAACACTACACACCGATTCGGAACGCAATCGAAATCTAGCTCTATACTAAATTTCTTCTAAAAGATAATAAATGATCTTTTACAACATTTCATACACATAAGTACGGATTTGAAAACGTCCTTCATACCTCAATTCTTCAATCCAAGAGTATTCCAAATTTCACGATTTCAAACTATCGCTTCACCAAAATCCAGATTTTATCAAATTTAATATTATTTCCCTAACTACCTTCTTCAACAATCCAATAGAAATCATATTTCCCAAAATCAGGATTCCTACCCTATCGGATCACTCAATTCCAAATTGTACCAAATTTAGTACAATTTAATACACATTTCTAAAACTATCTACATACCCCAATCCTGCAATCTCCAAACAGTAATCCAGCTCTAACGGTTCGCCAAAATCCAAACTGCATGAAATTTATAACCATTTAGTACACATTAATATACATTTCTATAACTTCCTACCTCAACACTCCAATAGGATTTATATTTCCTAATTTCAGTATTCTAGCCCTTTCGGCTTACCCTAATCCAAATCATACCATTTACTAGAAATTAAAAAAATTTTCTACATACCCCAATCCAAACCCCAACAGTTACCCTAACTCCAAATTTCAGATTCACCTAAAATTCAAATTGTACCAAATTTAGTACCATTTACATAGTTCGAATTTCCAAAACTTCCTAAATACCTCAATGCAGTAGTTACCTTATTTCCAAATTGTTCCAGCTCTATCGGTTCTCCCAAATCCAAATTGTACCATAAATAGTACCATTTAGATTTTCAAAAAAAAAAAAAAAAAAAAAATGAAAAGGCGTTAAGTTCGGTAGAATATACAATCCTCAAAATTCTGCAAATTAGATTACATACTGTAGGAATTAGCGAATACTTGGGGGTTATAGTTATATGAGGGCTATGCCTAATTAATGACCGACATATGTCAATTTCAAACCCAATAGGTATAATTATATGGGGGAGATGCCTAAATGCTGGCCGATATATTTCATTATCGTGAGGTTTGAGTTTTTTTATCACGATTTCCTTAAAGAGCTGAATGATTACAACCGATGGCTAAATCATCTTACAATTCCATAATTTGTAGGGTAAAACTGACTATTTCGAGTAACGACTATCCCCTATACTATGGTAGAATACGCCTATATGGGACAATCGCTACACACGGAACTAATCAGGTAACTATTATAATATAAGAAGGGGGTTATATGGGAATAATTTTTGGTTGGAAGATTTGTTACAATATGCGACTACAAAATAATAAATTACAATAAATTCGGTTGAAAAACGCGCTCAAGAACCCAAAAATACGGAAAATTGGGGGTGTCTTAAATGGGGCTACCCGAAAAAATGGACCTATACTTATAATTTTTAGTGAAGAAATTTTGGTACCCAATAAGAACCCATTGCACCAAATTTCAGCGAATTCGGGTTAAATCGCGCTTAAGAATATCCTAAAACCACCGTAAATTGGGGGATACCGTTATATATACCAGAAAAAAGTGGACCGATATTTATAATTTGTAGTGGAGACATTTGGTACCCAGAAAGAACCCAATGTACCAAATTTCAGCGAATTCGGTTGAAAAACGAGCTCAAGAACCCCAAAATACCGAAAATTGAGGGTGCCATTATATGGGGGCTAACCGAAAAAATGGACCTATATTTATAATTCTAAGTGGAGAAAATTGGTACGCAATAAGAACCCATTGTACCAAATTTCAGCGAATTCGGTTTAAAAACGTTCTTAAAACTCCCAAAATACCGTAATTGGAGGGTTCCGTTATATGGGGGCTACCAGAAAAAGTGAACCGACATTTATAATTTTTAGTGGACACATTTGGTACCTAATAAGAACCCATTGTACCAAATTTCAGCGAATTGGGTTGAAGACGCGCTCAAGAACCCCAAAAGACCGAAAATTGGTGGTGCCCTTATATGGGGCCTACATGAAAAAATGCACCTATATTTATAATTTTTGGTGAAGAAATTTGGTACCCAACCAGAAAAAGTGGGCCGATATTTATAATTTTTAGTGGAGACATTTGGTACCCAAAAGGAACCCAATGTACTAAATTTCAGCGAATTCGGTAAAAAAGCGGGCTCAAGAACCCCAAAATATCGAAAATTGGGCGGTACCCTTATATGGGGGCTATGCCTAAACGTGGACCGATATAGCCCATCTTCGAACTTGACCTGCCTGCAGGCAAAAGACGACACTATGCAAATATTTGGCGATCTATCTTAATTCATTCAAAAGATAGCGTGATTACAACAGACGGACCGACGGACGGATATGGCTAGATCGTCTTAGAATTTTACCCTGATCAAGAATATGTATACTTTATAGGGTCGGAAATGAATATTTCGATGAGTTACAAACGGAATGACAAAATTAATATACCCACTATACTATGGTAGAGGGTATAAAAACATGATTTCAAACTTCAGTATTCCAGCTCTTTCCGTTCCCCCAAACGTATATTGTACCAAATTTAGTACAGTTTAGTACTTTCCCTTTACTTGAGTACACACTTCCAAAATTATCTCTTTACATGGACCCTACTTCTCAACTTTGATTCGCATTCCAAATTTCATGGTATTACCTCTATCCTTTCACATGCTACGAAATTGTACAAAATTTAGTACATTTTAGTACTTTTCGGATACTATAAAGTATTTTAGTACTTTTCTTGCCATTCTAGTATGAATTTCCAAAAAAAAAGGCATAAGCGTTGATCAGTCAGTCACAGAATCGAAATTTATATCCACTGCAACTTTAAGTCCAGGGGTAGTTATTTAAGGTATTATATGATCGGCCCCGTTCGACTATACTGTTCCGCTCATTTGTTTTTAATTATTCAATCTTTATATTTTTGATTTTTCATTTTCCAAATTTTCTTTAATTACAGATGTCATTGATGAATTCCTGTTAATAGCCGACGCCAATAAGGATGGATTTTTACACTACAACGAATATGTTCAGGCGGTAACGGGTACAGCACACTAATGACATAGTGCGGAATATTACTACTCAATCTATGCAACTTTTGCATTTATGATTTTTTATTGAATTTTTTTCATCACATAATTTGCAAAAAGACTGTTACCCAACATACTCAACTAAGAACATACAATCACCAATTTGGGCAATATAAAGTGGCAAAATAATTTGAGAAAAAAATCCTCTCAATGGTGTTTTTTATACTGCTATGTTATTTATTAATGATTTCTATGAAAAAATAATAATAATTAGATTTACATTTAATGCTCAATACAATAATAATAAAAACTAAACTAGAAAATAATTATTAAGGAAACATATAACAATAATTTGTTTTTTACTTAAAATAAAAATTGTTCTTAATTTGCAAATATTGTTGCACAATTCTGTGTAGCATTGCACGGTTGACCACGCAGACCACTATAGGCAGCCTCTTCCACTAGGACAGCCAATTCCATGTAGCGGACATTTTTAAATGGTTCTCTGCAAACACGAGAAAATAAATATGAATATTAGAATTATTGTTTTGAATATTTTAAATATAATTACCCCTGAAACTTTTCAATGCCTTCGATTAAGGCCTTTGCTGCCTTGGCATATTCATAGGCAATTTGTGGCGATTCACAGGCGGCAGCAAACAAACATTGATCGTAGCCGTTTTGAGCTGCCAAAAATCCAGTAATTAGATAATCCTCGCCTTGTGTCACACCCAAAAAGTAATCTGAAAAGAAAAAAAGGTATTAAAAATATCAAAATGATTTTGAATATCCAGCTAAGCTAGTGTTATTGTAAAAAATTGTACAAAAAACTCTAATTTCATATTATTATTGAACTAATTTTGAAATTTTACAAGAAAGTATACGATTATACTTTTCACATGACACCACTTTCATTCGTATATAAGCCATGCGTAAAAAGTTATAGCAAAACCAGTAAGGAAAGTAGTAAAGTCGGACGGGGCCGACTATATGATACCCTTCACCACTTTGGGTATATTCAGCAGATGAATCCTAATAGACGTCGCATTTTTAAAGGACCAGTAAAATGAAATTGGATCCATTAACATGTCATTCTGCAATCGATAATCAATTTTTCATTTGGTCAGATATAGATTTT